GGAGACCTTGTCTCAAAAAACAAAACAAAACAAACAAACAAAAAAAAACAAAAAAAGAAATTACCAATTACATTATTTACAAAAGAAACTTGAACAATTTTAAGGGTTCAATTTTATCTGTCTCAGAGAAAATTATTTAAAATGAAAAAACCTATCTTTTTTAGTATTTTATTTATTATTTTTATTTTATGTGTATGCATGTATTCGTGTATGTAAATGCTCTCATGCAGTGCCCACGGAGGTCAGAAGAGGGTGTCGGATCCCCTGGAACTGAAGATACAGATGGTAGCTGTTAGCTGCCATGTAGGTGCTGGGATTTGAACCCGGGTCTTCTGCTTGCTCGTTACTGCTGAGCCATCTCTCCACCCCTAACCTATCTTAAAATCATTTAAATAGAATATATATATTTTAAATGTATGCCTGAAAAACTGTATTATATCTACCAATTTTTTTATGTATATGCATTCTGTGTGTGTTCATGTGAGTCTTCATGTGGATGAGTGAAGGTTTAAATGCCAGTTCATGCCTGTGGGGCTCAGGGGACAACCTCAGATTCTCTGCCTTTTTACTTTGTTTAATACAGAATCTCTTTGCCATTGCATACTCCAGGCTGGCTCACCCAAGAGCTTCTAGAAACTCAACCTTTCATCTCACTGCAGGAGAGACACTTGCTACTCCATCTGGCTTTATGTGGGTTCTTGGGATTTGAACCAGGGTCCTCACACTTGCATGGCAAGCACTTTACCCACTGAATCATTTCCTCGGGCCCCTCAATCTTAATTTTTAATTTTTTTCTGCATATGTAATTGGCTCTCTCTATCATGTGGATCCTAGAGATGAAACTCGTCATCAGGCTCGACAGCAAGCACCTTCATCCACTGAGCCATTACACTGGCCCTCTCTAATTTTTTTAAATGTTTGATGTTTTTTTAAATGTTTTTTAAATTAGTATCAGGTACTACCCCGAGGTTTTCAAGCTTTTCTATAAATTGTATGTATTTGTGTGTGTGTGTATGGTTTGTGTATGTGTTCATGCATATGGAGGTCAACATCAGTCTTCCTCCACTGCTTTCTCTTTTTTCAAATTTAGGCAGGGTTTCACATGTATGGCAGGCTGGCCTCAATGTATCTAAGGATGACCTTGAACTCCTGACTTTCCTGCCTTCATGTCTTGGATGCTAGGATTCTAGGCATGTGTCATCACCCCTGGCTTTGTGTGTTGCTAGGGCTTCATGCACACTAGGCAAGCACTCTTACCAACTCAGCTTCATCCCCTGCCCCTCTCTACCTTACTGTTTGAGACAGGGTCTCTCACTAAACCTACAGCTCAGCAGTTTGGCTACAATGACTAGCAAGCAAGCTCTAGGACTCTACCTGTCTCTTCCCCTGCACTAGCAGGGTTACAGACCTATGCCACCACATGCGGCTTTTACATGTGCTAGGAATCCAAACCCAGATCATCATGCTTGCACAGCAGGCACTTCACTGAGCCATTTGCCCAGCCCCTCTCCACTTATTTGAGAATCAAACTATAAACTTTTAAGAAAGAAGGAAAAATCACAAAGTCCCTTGCATGACAGAATTGTCCAATATTGATATTCTGTAATTTTCAGCTGCCAACCAATTAAGTCTCTTTATAAACACTGATATAACACATAAGATTATAATGATATACAAATACCACTGGGAAATTATCTATTTTATTGATCTTGAAACAAAAACAGTAAAAAGCATAGTAAGCATTAAAAGATTGTCCTTTGCCAGGCATGGTGGCGCATGCCTTTAATCCCAGCACTTGGGAGGCAGAGGCAGGTGGATCTTTGTGAGTTTGAGGCCAGCCTGGTCTACATAGTGAGATCCAGGACAGCTGGGGCTACAGGAGACCCTGTCTAAAAAAGACCACAAAAAAAAAAAAAAAAAAAAAAAAGATGGTCTTTTATTCTAAGCTTTTATTTTTTAATTGAAATGACATTAGACATTTCCATACACAGTCCTTGGTTCTGGCAACATAAGAAGCTGCTGGCTTTGTCCCTCAAATTTTCTTACATCTATTATTAGCCTCTCAAAAACAAATATCTGGAATTTTTGTTCTAAAAGGCCTATACCCTGTCTTTTTAAAGAAACAAGAAAGGCTACCTACGAGCTGTTGTCTTACTCATCTTAGTCCCTAGGGTTGAGCACAATGCCTGACACACAGTAAATATCAAACAAATATTTTCTGAATTAATTAAAAGATAAATGGTAATAGCTCCATTTAAAAAAATTAACTCCAGGACTGGAGAGATGGCTCAGCAGTTAAGAGCACTAACTGCTCTTGCAGAGGACCCAGGTTCAATTCCCAGTACCCACATGGTGGCTACAAACCATCCTTAACTCCAGTTCCAGGGAATTCGAAGCCCTCTTCTGACCTCCGTGGCATTGCACGACACGGGTGCACTCGCATGCATGCAGGACTCCAAGAACAGCATTTATAGCAAGTCACAGTGTTAACCCCAATATAAAAAGGGCCAAGTGCCAGAATTTTTTAAAATTTAAAACAAAATGGAATTTTTACCATGACTCAATACTAAATTTAATAACAGTACAAAAATATACCATTTGCTTCAGACTGAAATATAACCACGTTTTTCAAATTTATAAATACAAAAAGCATTAAAAATGTGAACAGCTGAGTCAGAAATGGATGAAAAGGGGTTAACCATTGCTGGTAAGTGCTGAAGCTGAATAACAAGTACACAGTCTTCATTATAGGACACACATGAGGTCATTATAGTGTTTTCTTTTTTTTTCCCTCCCAAGCGCTGGGACTAAAGGCGTGCACCACCACACTCAGCTGTGTTTTCTTTATTTTTATGTATATGTAATTTAAGTTAAAAAATGATAGCATGAAAAGACATTAAGGTAAATCAAAAGAATGAAACAGGAAGAAAAGTGTCAGATACGATTTCTGTTCTGAATGTCAGTTGTCTTAGATTTATATATATATAAAGAAAATCAACCTGATCCATGTATTATTACGTAATTAAGTGCTTTTGGGTTATATAAGAATTTAAAACAGAGAGCTAATGCTTCCCAAGTACTTAGATTTGAACCTTGAAAGAATAGAGATAGCACATAGGTAGAAGTAAAGAAGGAAAAAGAAAACTGAGTTATGACCTGGGCAGAGAGAAGGGAGAGGCAAATTATAGAAATAGTTAAAAGCCCCAGAGAGGGGTCCTTTGATGATTCAGAAGGAAACAGTGGCTATTGCAGAGTTCTCATGAACAGCCTTAGGAATATTCACTTAGCAGCATTATGTGGCACATATTGCAGAGGGTAGGGAGGGGCTTAAAACAAATCATAATGGTGTCAAATAACACTCCAAACATACAGTGATTCAAATGTGGATAAGGGGAGAGGTTCTGATAGAAATATAGTAAAAGAGAAACTTCAAAGGGAAAAAAAAAGCAAAGTAGGGCTGGGAGCATAGCTTGTCTTTCATGCTAGAGGCCTGTACTCAAGCCTACTACTTGCTAATGGAAAAAAAAAAGCAATGAGTCAGTCACAAAACGGTGTCTGGATGATTAGATGGATCTTATTTCCACTGGACAGGGATGGTAGAAGGCAGAGACTTAAAAACAGGCCATTTCTCAGAGGTTGAAATTTGACAAGAAAACAGTAACTACAGTAATATAACTAATCTTCATAGCTTACTAGATGCCAGAGGCTTTTTATATGTCACATATATGATTTCATTTATTCTTCAAAAGAATCTTAATGAATTAACATCATTCTTACTTTGCAGAAAAGGAAATTGGGGTACACAGAAGTTAAGAGTTGGTCTAGATTACAAAGACATCAGGAATTTAAACTAGGTTCAGCAACTCTGTTCAATTCCTTCTCCACAACATGAGTTGAGGCAATGTTTAGGGAGCTAAACTACCTTTCCGACAAGCACAGACACATTTAAAAAAAAAAAAAAAAAAGAGCATACTGTTAACTATTTCTATAGAGAAAGAGCTCACAATCTGACATTTCTGACAATTATTTTGGGGGTTGTTCTTTGAAACAGGGTCTCATGTAGCCCAGGGTGGCCTCAAACTTATTACATAACTGAGACTGGCCATGAATTCTTGATCCTCCTGCCTCCACCTCCTAAGTGCTGGGATTACAGGCATGTGACCATACCTGGCTTAATCAACTTTTAAGGAGTATTTTTGGAAAAAGGATTTTTTTTGGTGGGGGGGGCTCTTTTTGAGACAGGGTCTCCCTGTAGCTCCAGTTGGCCAGGAACTCACTATGTAGACCAAGCTAGCCTCAGTCTCACAGCTATCCACCTTTCTCTGCTGGTATTAAAGGTGTACACCACCAGGCCTGGCTAGAAAAAGGAATTTTTCTTTTTTTAACAACCAAACAATAAATAAAAAAGTTAGGAATCAAGGAAAACATTTTACAATTAAACATGAATGCTAAAAATTGGTTAAAACATGAACATTATAATTTCCAATATGCTTCCTATTGTCATTTCAACATGCAAGGTTAAAGTATATACTTGAATATACATATACTTCTTAGAAGGCAGGTCATATGTTTTAGAAATTCAATTAGAAGCTTCAAAAGAAAATTCTTTAGAACAAACTAAGTGCTGCTACTCCACAGCAAACAATACGGAAGGGGTAACTATTGCTAGTCTGCATCAGCAGAGGAATCCCAAAAACCAAAGGCCTTGTCTATACCTCCTCTAGCACACAAAATTAAAATATAGTCATATGGCACAGCTGCAAAAACTGCTGTATGAATACTTATTTTTGAGACAGGGTTTCTCTGTAGGCCCAACTGGGCTGGAACTTTAAAAGTAGACCAGGCTAACCTCAACTTCACAGAAATCCATCTGCCTCTGTCTCCTGAATGCTGAGACTAAAGGCGTACACCACCATACCCAGCACAAATAACAATTTCTATAGGTAGACATACTGCAAGAAGTTAGTTACTTAGTTACTAACTTCTGATAAGTTACTTACTTTCTGATACTGTATAAAGAAGGTTCTGGGGTAAAGGAGGAGGTAGTCTTGCTCCCACTGGGGCAAGATTGGGCACTGCATTTGTCCCAGGCTGGTCACGGCTGTTTATCAAGCTTGACTGTGAAATAGGTGGTCCTACAGAATACAAAAAATTGAGAAGTATGGCATTAATATTTCCTAGTAAAAACACAATACTAGTACTAATTTAGATATTCATACTTAAAGACCTACTTGGGTTTTGAGCAAAATTCGGGGTCCTGACATGCAGGTTTAAGCACTATATAATTATAGTATATAATTATGGGTTATATAATTTTAATGACATTCTTAGTTCTAGAACAGGCAAAACTAACAGTAAAGAAAAGCAGAACTGGTTGCCTCTGCAGGTGAAGTGGAGAGGGCTGGGAGGGATTTGAAGAAATTTTCTAGGGAACAGTGAACTTCCTCAGCATAAATTGAGTAATAAACACACACAAATATCTGCAATTGTGAATGCTGTGAAACATTATTTTTTAAAAAATTAGTGGAGGGGTGGGCTGAAGAGGCGGTTCAGTTGGTGGAGTGCTTTCCTAACATACACAAAACACTGCATTAATCCCAATACTTTAATCCCAATACTCAGGAGGCAGGCAGATTGAGGCCAGCCTAGTCTACATAGTAAGTTCCAGGCCTTCCAGGCCAGTTGGGGCTACAGGGAAACTTTGTCTCAAAAAAAAAAAAAGATAAATAGTGCTGGGAATGTAGCTCAGTGGTAGAGCACCTGCCTAGAATGCATGAAGCCCCGGTTTAAATCCTTAGAAGCCCCAACAATAGAGTGGAGGAGAGGGAACAGAATACCAGATGATTCAGGACTATGATTCCAGCTACTCAAGAGGCTACATAAAGCAAGAAGATCTCAAGTTTAAAGTCTGCCTGAACTACAGGGCTAGTTCAAGGCCAGCCTGGCCCTCTTAATGAGATCCTGATGCAAAATAAAGTGAAAAAAGTTGGGAATTTATCTCAGTAGCAGAGTGCTTGCCTGGCATGAGTAAGGCCCTAGATTCAAGCACAGTACCAGAAACATAAGAAGATGTACTGTTTAAACTGAACAGCAATAAAGTTCTAAATAATAATTTGCTGTTCTTTAATAATGTGATGCTAAATGTCTATAAGGAAATACTTTCTATTTTAAAAAAATTTTTTAAATATTTATTTTTATTTTATGTGTATGCATGTATTGCCTACGTGTAGGTAAGTGCACCTGTGTCGTGCAATGCCCACAGAGGACAAAAGAGGCTGTCAGATCACCTAGAACTAGAGTTAAGGACAGTTGTTACCTGCCATGTGGGTGCTGGGGTTCAAACCCAGGTCTTCTGTAAGAACAACCAGTGTTCTTAACCGCTGAGCCATCTCTCCAGCCCCAAGGAAATATTTTCTAATACCTCTGCATACAAGTGAATAATCCATTCCATAACCTCTTTCAATTGAATTTTTACAATCCAGTCTTACTTCTGTTCTCGCTATACTTAAAGCCTTACCTCAACATCCTACTCAGTCTCCAGAGTACTAGATAACAGGAATGTGTCACCACAACTAGCTAACAGCCATTTATATTCCTTAAAAGGCCTTCTTTTTAATGTATGTGGGTATATATTGTGTATCAGGGAGTGCACACACACTCATGCACACAAAGGCCAGATGAGCACTGTGCCCTATCACTCACAGCCTTGTTCCCTTTAGACAGTCTCTCACTGAATCTGGAGTTAAACTGGCTGCCAGCAATCCCCAGTAATCCTCCTGTGTCTCCACCCCCAACAGTGCTGGGGTTACATGTATGTGGCCACATCCAGCTATTTTTTTTTAATCTTATAGATCAGGCTGGCCTCAAACTCACAGAGATCCACTTGCCTCTGCCTCCTGAGTGCTGGGATTAAAGGTGTGTACCCCACCCCTGGCCACATCCAACTTTTACTGTTGGTGCTAGAGATTTAAACTCAGATCCTGGCAAACACTCTTAGCAACTGATCCATCTCTAAGGCCCTTACATGGGTATTTAAAAATAGTTCTGACTCTCAATTTAGGTAGATGCAATAATGACCTACTTTTTAAAACACAAAGTATTTTTATCAGTAAAGAGATTCACACTGAAACATACACTGTTAAAATACATGGCATGTGAAATTTACTCCCACAAAAACAAAGCAACCAAAAAATAAAAAATTGTGGGGAGGGAGTTTAACCAAGCCAAGATAGCTGAATAGATAATCACTGAAGCCAGTGATACTACCTGTGTATATCTGAAAGCCTCCATAATAAAAAATTTTACAACTTATTTCAATATTCTTGAAGAAGCTGTCTCTAAAGAGCAAAAAATTCATAGAACTACTGGTATTTTTTTTCTCTAACATCTTAAAATGCTATCAATTAACAAAACTTTGTCTCCAGGTAAACACGTCAGGCCACTACAGATAAAAGTTATACTGCAGATAAAGAATGGCAAAAAGGAAAAGACATCTTAATTATGGAAGCATATTTTAAATTCCATTATTATTTTTCAAGCACTTTAGCAGTTAGCAAACAGGATAAGGTCCTTCTAAACAGAATTCATCAATAAAAAAAAGAATTCAACCAGCACATACTTACTTGGTATGGGAAGCACAACAGAAGGTGGTGGCTGACCATGTCCTTGAGGAACAGGAAGTCTCATACTATGGCCAGGACCTGGGCCTGGGCCGGGACCAGGACCAGGGCCAGGACCAGGGCCTGGGCCTGGGCCTGGCATTGGAGGCATTAACATTCCAGGAGGTGGTGGAGGAGGAAGCCCAGGAGGAGGGGGTGGGAAAGGAATCATACTTGGCAGAGCAACTTCATCAACAACTAGAGGATCATTTCCATGATCGAACTGACAAAGGTCACCAAGTACACAAAATCCTCTTTCTGTAAGAATTAAAATTTAAAAAAAAAAAAATCTTATTACAATCTATGTAAGAGTTTAGAGAATAAAACAAATTCCTGAAAAACTCAGTATAATTTACATTGCAGTCTTTCCAAGAAGTTGAAAATCTCGGTGTCTGTTAATTACCATATAACTTTGAGTATACACAGGCATATTCTCTACTTTCAAAACTATGAAAATATGACATTAAAAAAAAAAAGTAGCAGGGTCAACAACAGGCTATTAACCAACTTGCTATTAAGCTTCTATAATAAGAATCGGGTATGGCAGTGATGCCTGTACTCCTAGGACTCTAGAAGCTGAGGTAGGAGGATTGCAAGTTTGAGAACAGCCTGAGTTACACAGCAGGTTTGAAATAAGCCTGGGTTACATAGTAAGAACTTATTTATTTAAAAATAGCTTTTAAGCTGGGCGTGGTGGCTGGGGCTACAGGGAGACCCTGTCTCAAAAAGACCAAAAAAATAAATACATAAAAATAAAGCTTTTAAGGCCCAGTGTGGTGGCGCACACCTCTATTCCCAGCACTTGGGAGGCAGAGGCAGGCTGATCTCTGTGAGTTCCAGGCCAGCTGGGGCTACAGGGAGACCCTGTCTCAAAAACACCAAAAAATAAATCAAATAAATAAATAAATAAATAAATAAATAAATAAATAACACAATAATTACACAAATAACAATTTAGCAAAAGTTTAGGAAGAAGGAATAAAAGCCTTGAACTGGATTACTTAATTTCAATGACCTATTTTTAGTAATATTATTTTAGAGCAACAATTCTTTTTATACATGGAAAATTAAAAATTTAATCTAAAATATTCAAGTGGGGCTAGAGACTTGGCTCAGCAGTTAAGAGCACTGGCTACTATCGCAGACAACCCAGGTTCGAGTCCCAGCACCCACACGGTAGCTAACAACCATCTCTAACTCCAGTTCCAGAGGAATCCAATGCCCTCTTATGACCTTCACTGGCACTGTGCAACACAGGTGCACTTACATAACATGCAGGCAATGCACTCATAAAATATTAAAAAATAATAAACTGAAAATAAAATATTCAAGTGAATAGGAGAAATGACTTGTAATGTTCCACAGTATAAAAGGTAACTATAGTTGATACAACTATAGTTGATGATTTTAAAATAGCTGGTAAAGAAGATTATGAATGTTCCCAACATACACAAATGATAAATGTGTGAGGTAACAGGCATGCCAATTACCCTTATCTGATTCTTACATATAATATTATGTACTGAAATGTCATTGTACCCTATAAAATGTGTACTAGGTGCCAATTAATAAGTCTGCAGAGGCAGATCTCTGTGAGTTCAAGGCCAGCCTAGTATACACAGCGAGTTCCAGGTCAGTTGGGGCTACAGGGAGAACCTGTCTCAAAAAAGACCATAAAAATTTTTTTTAATTAAAATTTCAATTAGGCCTTAGAAACCAAGTTATTTACTGTAGCACTGTTTACAGTTGAAAATGCTAGAAATAGCCTAAGTTTGTATTAATAAGAAACAGGTTAAACATATTTTAATACATAGAGAATTCTAAGAAGCCTAAAAAGAAAAACTTTAGGGAGTTCTTTATCTATTAGTATGGAATTATCAGGAAATGAGAAGTGAAAAAACATATTAAATGTGAAGAACAGACTAGTATTCATGTAAAAAAGAAAGGTGCCTTGTTAGAGATGTAGCCCAGGGGCAGACCTTCCTAAAGAAGGCAAGGCCCTGAATTCAGCTGTCAGTACCATTACAAAGGTGGGGAGGGGGGGTTCCAGTTCAGTAAACATTCAGTCAAGTGTGCTGGCACATGCCTAGAATCCCAGCACTTGGCCAGGAGTCTGAGGCAGAAGGCTGTTAAGTTTGGAGATAATCTGGGCTACACAGGAAAAAAAAATTTTAAGGTCAAATGTAGCCTCTTGACAAAAGAGACAAATCATCATAGCAAACATGGATATAAGCATATGCCAAGAGATCCTCCTCTCCATTCTTTCCTTTAGCAAGGTGGACTATAAGGAAAAGGCATGCAATCTAAGCAGCATTTACTTTACTAGGAATCTGGGGTACAATACATAAGAGAAGGTGCTTTTACCATCATAATCTCTGCATCGCCTCTTTGGTGGTGGGTTTCGACCAAAAGAATTGGAAGAGCTATGATTGTTATAGTAATTAGACCAACTCTCAGTTGTGTTTTCAGAATGGTGAGCAGGTGCAATCACAGTAACTGTGCTGGGAATAGACTGTGCCCCAGAGGAATACTGCTCAGAAGAGTTCGCAGGCGGAGCAGACGCAGGCACATAGGAACTCTCCAAGTCATTTCTCTCACTCTTAAACTTTGATCTTTCCCTGTGCTCTGCTTTAGAGACAAAATAAAAACAAGAGACAATGAGATCATTTATGCTTTTAAGCTATGCTTATTCTCTCACAGAATAACAAAGATGAGAATATTAGCGTATTTAACTGGTCTCATTACTAACATATTCTAAAAGCAAGAACATCAATGGTGTGACCTTTCAACCAACATCTTGTGAAAATCCATGCTTTATATTATCAACATCAATTTCACTGAACGAAAAGTGTCAGCTTCTCCACTGATAAAAAGAATGCTACCCAAGCACTAGCATCCAACCTGGTATTTCAGGATATCAGTGTTTCTGCTTTTGGTGTGGTTTTGGGGGTTTGTTTTTTTTTTTTTTTTTAATTTTATAGCCATTAGACAATCTCATAACAAATTAATTACTTTTAGGAAAAACAAAACAAAAAACAAAGGCAAGTAACCACCTTACTCAACTGGTATTGTTGGTTAAAGGACATTTATATCAATTATAAAAATGACTTAAAGCCAGGTGTGGTGGTGCATGCCTATAGTCCTAGCACTTGGGAGGCAGAGGCAGGCAGATCTCTGTGAGTTCAAGGCCAGCCTGGTCTACATAGTGAATTCCAGGACAGCTGGGGCTACAGGGAGACCCTGCTTCAAAAACACCAAAACTTATGAATAGCTTTTAAACAAAAACAAACTCACTTAACTCAGCAGAATTCAAGAATAGAGCTCTCTTTGTAAAAAAAAATCATATTCAGTTTTTTGAGACAATTCCAGTTTTCTCATTTAGATATACTAAAGGCAGATTTATCTTTAAATGAATTTCTCACACCTCCGTCTGTCATCTAAGCAACTAGAAGGTTTTCGGAGCCATCTTGTCCACTCACCAACATTCCTGTTGGGGTCCCGGTCTTTGCTGCGACCCCTGCTGCGGCTCCTGCTCCGACTCAGGCCTCGACTCTTGCTCCGGCTCTTGCTGCGGCCTCTCCTCCAGTCGTACTTCTCACGGTACAGTTCACTGCGCTCGTAGTATCGGTCATAGTCTCTCCACTTGCCATCTTCTCTTTTCTTCTCCCGTGTCCTACAATACACAGATATAAAAGCCATGTATAAGCTATAGAAATGAAATCCGTGCACAAACCTAGAGTACAAAATACTCTCTTTAAGTCACCAAAATTCATAATGTCTCTCCTTTATAGAATGTTGTGGACTATCACTAATTCTTCCAACCATTATTTAGAAAGGGGAGGGGATAATATTCCCACTTCAATACACTGGATGGAGGTAAATGAAGAAGAGGTGAAACCAAAGTATGAGGAGAAATGGAGAGAAGACAGAAATTAGACCTAGAAAGGAAAAAGGCTTCAAACAAAGTTTTTGCCAACAAAGACCACTTCCTGGTGACAGATGGCTAACACCACAAACTGCACCACTTCTAGAATACACTGACATGGATAATATTAATACTGAGCACCCCTAACCAAATGGAACATTTCATTATAATTCTCTTAGGAGACTGCTCCCACCTCTGTGCTCTTGGGGAAAAGCACATAATTATGACTGTTTATAAAAGGAACAGAAAGTAAGGCAAAAACAAAAAACAGACTGGAAAGAAGGTAACAATACCATTTCCTAATAGTTTAGAGAGAAAGCCAGGACAGAGGTTAAAAATCATACGCAACAAAAAAGTGATTTGTCATTGTCTTTCTAATTAGAGGTAAGTACACACCTTCGTTCAGAAGATTCAGAACGATTCTTCTGGGGACTAGGATATTTCTTTTTTCTACCATCTCGTTCTTCCTCTGCTGGCTCCTGAAAAACCTGTATGAAAATATGCATCAAAAATAAGAAGTTATTCTATAAACTACAAAACTTAGATATCTTTCTAGTACAAGACAGAACATAAATAAGCATGCTGAAATACTGGGGTCTAGGTTAGATATGGTGGCAAACTTGTAATCCCAGCATTTGGGAGGAAAAGGCAGGACACCCTTGGCTATACAGGTGAGTTCCAGACCAGCAAGTTGAAACCCTGTCACAAAATAAATTAGTAAACAAAATATAAAACAAACCCCTCCAAAAAAGAGATACACACTGAAGGTAAATAACTGATTCACAGATAATAGACAGATATGCATACATACACATATAGTGAGGTTAAATCAAAACATTACTTCAAGAAGTGATTTATTACTTTAATCCCAGCACTCAGGAAGCAGATAGATCTCTGTATATTCCAGGCCAGCCTGGGCTACACAGTCAGATTCTATCCTCCACAATCAAACAAACAAAACAAAACAAAGTAGAATATTAGCTGTCTGTGGTGTCACACACCTGTAATCAGGTGACTGAGGAAAAAGGATCTAAGTCTGAAGCCAGGCTGGATTACACAGCAAGACCATGTCTCAAAAAAAAAAAGAGGTTTGGTGGCTCATACCTGTAATCTAAATACTCAGGAGACTGAGGCAGTATGGCTGCCACAAGGTCAAGGACAGCCTATGCTACATGACAGAGAGTGTCATGTAGCAAGGCCTTATCTCAAAACAAAAACACACTAATTTTCAAATGTTAAAGTAGGTAATAGTAATGTAAGAAGAAAATAAGGAGGTCATTATTTAAATTGAGAAAGTAGAACTAACAATCATTAAGTATCATACAGTAAAATGGTTTATATCTTAATTTTAAAATATAGTCATACATGAGGGGAACTTTACATACACTTCATAGAAAAGGCTCTGGGGGCTGGCCAGATGGCTCAACAGGTAAAGCCAAGCCTGAGGACCTGAGTTTGATCCCTGTGACTCACAGGGCAAAAGGAGAACTGACTCCTACAGGTTGTCCTCTCATCTCCACCCATGTCATGGTATGCACATGCCTAACATATACACAAATATCACAAAAAAAAAAATTTTAGATCTGTGTGAAAAAAAAATCTGGAGGCCAGGCACAGTGCCACATGCTTTTAATCCTAACACTTGGGAAGAAGAGGCAAGCAAGTATCCATGAATTCAAGGCCAGCCTGGTCTACATAGGGAATTCTAGGTCAGCGAAGATTACATACTGAGACCCTGTGCTGCCCCCCCCCCCCCCGCCGACATTAAAACATCTGGGGCTGGAGAGCACTGTCTGCTCTTGCAGAGGATCGAAGTTCAATTCCCAGCACTCACATGGTGGCTAATAACGCTAACTCCAGTTACAGTTGATACAAAGCCCTCTTCTGACCTCCATAGGCACTGCATGACATGGGTGCACTTACACACTTGCAGGCAAATACACTCATACACATAAAATAAAAATAAATTTTTTTAAATTTAAAAATTAAAAATAAAGTTTGAGCTAGGTGTGGTAACACACACCAGCAATCCTAGTTAGCACTCAAGAGGCTAAAAAAGGGGGTAAGGGGGGTGCTGGGACACAGCTCAGTAGCAGAATGCCTACCTAACAAGCACAAGGCCTTGGGTTTGATACCCAGTACCACAAACAAATGAACAAAGTTTGTAAAAAATAAATTTCCAAATAATGGAGAAGCTCCTCGTTTCTATAAATTACAAAACCAGAAAGTAAATAGATCAGAAGGTGACAATTTAATAAAACTCAGGCAGTGTAATAATGGCAGCCACCCTATGGCACGAGCAGAAACCACACAATCACCAGGTTATTAAAAAACCATTCTCTCTAGCAATTTACAAGAAATACAAACGATGCATTACTACACTGGGATGCAATAAACTAAATCTAGATAATAAAAATTCCACAGAAAAAATGCGTCTTCACAAAGTAAAACTTCAGGAAAAGTTTTACTAAAAAGGAACAAATGCTGTATACTTCATAAATTATAGGAATATATCTACTGTTGATTTTTCAGCACCAGGATGTGTTGAGTCAATGGTCTAAATTCTCTTGCCTGTTTCCCTTGTAGCCAATAATCAAATTATTAAAACAACTGATGGTACAACACAGCTGAGGATCAAGAAGTTACAATGGCTTGTTCTGAGATTTTTTCAGACCTGCTCACGCCAACAGCAACTGAGCACAGACCAGAAATGGGAGACAAGGAGTCAAAGACTTATGCCACTGCCAACCCTCTTCCTTCCAAATTACCTAACAAGATTACATTAAACCATTACATTCATGCACTATTATATTTGTATCATTTACTATTATATATTTGATATATTACACCTTTATATCATTTATTACTATATATTTACTATTTATATCAGTAATTATAATTAAGTTATAAATAAAAATCTTAGAGAAACAAGAAATGCCAGAAAGTGTCAATTGGGGTAACTCTACAGTCAAACTACTATCCACTTTTCAGTGTTCAAAATTAGTATTTACTACAAAGATACATATAAACCTGTGGTGCATTTTTTAAAATTGTTCTTTTAAAACAATGAAATATAAAATTTTAAGACATTTTTGAGTGTGTGCACATGTAATCATGTGCACCTGTGTGGGTGTAGGCCACATGGAGAACAAAAGAAGGTGTCATGCTGGGTGTGGTAGCACACGCCTTTAATCCCAGCAGAGGCAGGCATATCTCTGTGAGTTCAAGGCCAGCCTGGTCTACACAGCCAATTCCAGACCAGGTGGGGCTACAGGTAGACCCTGTCTCAAAAAGACCCAAAAAAAAAAAAAAAAAAAAAGTGTGAAAGCTGGAGTTGCAGGCAGTTATGACCACCCAAAGTAAATACTAGGAACCAAACTGGGTCACCTGGAAGAACAGCAAGTACTTCCAATATAATTTTTTAAAGAACTATTTAAAAATCACAGCTGGAAAGACAGCTCATTGGTTAAGAGCACTGGCTGTTCTTTCAGAAGATCTGGGTTTGAATACTAGCACCTACATGGTGGCTAACAACCATCTGTAACTCCTGTTGCAGGGGATCTGACACCCTCTTCTGTCCTCCACTGGCACTGCATGATCTGGGTGCACTTAAACACATGTAGGCATAACACTGATACACACAAAATAAAATAAATTAAAAAATAAATTTAAAAAATTTATTTTAAATCAATTGCCATTTAATCACACTCTTCTGAACCACTGAGTACCTTCAATGACTATAGAAAAAAGGGATATGCCACAAATGAATTTATAGCACATTATAAAAGACTTAACCTCTACCAAAGACCATAAATTATACACTATATCAAGTACCAAAGAAAAACTTCTATAAATCATGGAAAGTTTCTGTTACTTGAAAAGACATACAGAGAACCTGAATAACTTATTTTTAAAAGACTTTAGGAACCTGGCATGGTGGTACACACCTCAAGTCTTAGCACTTGGAAGGTAGAGGTAAAAAGATCAGGAGTTCAAGGCTACCCTCAGTACCCTCAGCTACATGTAGAGACACTACAAAAAAAATAAAATAAGAAGTACATACATAAATAAAAGAAATGATTACAGGACACAGTATAAAAACAAAGTAAGTGAAGTGGTCTCAGTTAACTTTAATTAAAAACAGCCACATTTTGTTTTCTTTTGATGTTAAGGGAGTTCAGTTGATATACTACAAAGTGAATCAAAAATGACACCTAATGATATCTGCTCCTTAGAATGAATCCTGTACCAGAGGAAAAGAACACACTATAAATAACAAACACTGTTGAGGGAACTGATAAAACTGAAATAGACGGTAGATAAAGCTGGTATGAATGTCAAAATACACTAAAGATGATGGTGTTACTGTTATGCTAAAGCTTTTATGCATGTGTTCATATGCATACATACATGTATGAGTGAGCACAGCAGAGCACATATATATGTGCATGTGAAAGACAGAGGTAGATGTCTGATGTTTTCATCTATCACTCTCCACCATTTTTTTATCTTTTTGAGACAGGGTTTCCCTGTAGCCCCAACTGGCCTGGAACTTGCTATGTAGAACAGGCTAACCTCTATCTCAGAGATCTGTCTATCTCCGCCTCCCAAGTGCTGGGATTAAAAGTGTATGCCACTATGCCTGACTCACTTTATTTTCTGAGAAAGGGTCTCTTAATGAACCTGGAGCTTAACCAGTTCCATTAGACTGGTTGCCCAGAAGCCTCAGAAGCTTCCCCAGTACTGGGATTACAGCACCAACTGAGCAATTGCCCCAGCCCCCCCCACCCCCTTTTGTTGAGATAAGATTTCATGTATCCCATGTTGGCCTTGAACTCAATAGTCAAGGATAACCATAGACGTCATATCCTCCTGCCTCTGCCACCAAAATTCAAGAATTAAAGACATGTACTATTTATGTGGTGCTGAGAATTAAACCCAAAGCTTTGTGAATGTCCAGTCAGCACTCTACAACTGAGCCAAATCTCCAACCCCTAAAGAATATTATTCTTAGGAAGTAGAAGGAAATGAAGGGCCATGATATATACACACAATGACTCAGAAAAAAATTATTGGTGTGCACATGTAAGGAGAACAAATGGTTCAAGTCTTCAATAAACTCATCTAGGCAGATGTCATATGGGTGTTTTGGGTATTATTTATATAATTCTGACACAAATTTAAAATTAAAAAGTAATTTTGTCTTTACAATAAAGTTTATTTAAAAGGATGGAAAATAGGACCTGGAGAGATGGCTCAGTGGTTAAGAGAGTATACTCCTCTTGCAAAGGACCTAAGTTCAGTTTCCAGGACCCACATGGTAGCTCACAACATCCTGTAACTCTAACTCCAGGGAATTTGGTGCCTTCTTCTGGCCTCTGGGGATACCTGTAGTCGTGTGCACATACCCAAACACAAATACACAAACACTTAAAAAAAAATTAATGATTATTACAGGCATGTGGTGCACCTACATACATGCAGGCAA